CTGGACTATCTTGGAGCTCGATTCAACAAATTTTTAATGATCAAAAAGGCCTGATTTGTGGCAGATGGGGGACTGGTTTTACCACCATGACAATGCCCCTGCTCAAGCAGCCATCTCAGTGTGCCACTTTTTGGCAAAAAAACAACATGCCTTTCTTACCCCATGTACATTACTCACCTGACTTCACTTCTTTCTTTGTTTCTGTGAATTAAGAGGGACACGAAAGGATAGTGATTTGATGACATGGGAGAGGTGAAGAAAAAGACAAGGGAGGTGCTGGCAGCTATCGATGAGTTTGAAAAATGTTTCCAAGAATGGAATCACAGACTTGACAAATATATTTAGCGTAATGGAGAGTACTTTGAAGGTGATAAGGTGGTTTTGTAAAAAACAAAAAATTATATACATAGCTTTTAGGAAGAAAAATTCTGTTTTGTTTTTTTTTTGGTTACCCCCTCGCATATCTGCCTCAGATTTTTTCTGACAAAATCATTACATGTATAAAACGTCCTGTCATGTTAAGCATGGTACTTATACATGTATTCTGATTTTGCTGTTGTTTTAATGATATAGTAAGAAGAAAGAGAGAAAAGCTAGTAGGATAGATTGATTCTTTTATGAAGTGTCCTAACCCCTTCCTGTTTTCTCCTTGTTTAGGTGTGAAGTGTTTCTCTTACTCTACAAGTGTGATCAGTCTTGCTTTCCTACCTTACATGTTTGCACAGAGTAATATTGTCATTGGAAGTCTGCCGTTGCAAATCTTATTTTATGGCATCATAGGAAGCTTTACAGTGATCACTCCCGTGCTGCTTCACTTTGTCACAAAAGGCTACGTCGTCCGGTTGTACCACGAGGCCACGACGGACACTTACAAAGCCATTACGTACAGTGTCGTGCTTTCAGAAAAGAGCACACTGTTTCACCAGAATGATGTGAAGATTCCAAGCAGTGCACACATGTTCACCACGTTTTACGCTAAAACAAAGTCCTTATTAGTTAATCCACTACTCTTTCCAAACCCTGAAGACTTTAACCATCTAATGGGTTATGACAAGCCTTTCACTTTTGATATGGAAGAAGAAGATGAAAAGAAACCGCTTCAAGAAGAGAAATGAGCCTATTGTTTTTATGTCTAGGCTCACGTTTGATTTATCTTTCACTGTACAGTAATAAAATTGCCATTACTTTTGTATCTGTAAGTGACTGACGGTTAAACTGTTAGAAAAACCCTGTGAAACAAGAGCTCTGAATTTTCAGTGAATGATAGTCTTTTACAATAAAATAAGCTATGTTTTAAAACACAGTGCATATTATTTTGTGTATAAAAGCTATGTGAATGTGTGTATGTGGTTTTATAACGGCACTAGGGCAATGATTTCTTTTAGAAGAATTAATACCAGACTAGTGTAAGGAGGTAGATAGATAAGGATTTTCCAAATGTCAAAATTTCCCGACAGTAAGCCACTCCCATTTTCCCTGATCTTCACCACTCCACTTAGTATCTTCCCTCACACCCGTGGGTTCTGCAATTCATGGGAACGTTTGACAGAACTCAGAAAGCTTTAAGGAATCACCTACGTGTTTGAGGGTGTTAGTCCCAAATCCAAAGTTCAGACATGCATTTGAAGGTTCCTCGTCATCCACAGGCTGGAGAAGCTGGTGAAATCAGACAGGTGATAGGAGTGCAACCCAAGTACCAAGAACTAGAGCTCAAGGCACAGCCAAGAGAAATGCTGGGTCCAGAGCCAGAAACCAAATGTGTCCTAAAGTCCAAGCAGATCTTGCTTCTGCGCATGCTCAAGAAGGGGTCACACGAAACAGCTTTGATAGAGAGATGGTTTTTGTCTTTCAGCAGACCACCCCCTAAGGAAACAAAGGGTGGTGACTTGAGTCATACCCTCTAGTCAATGGAGACTCTAGACTGTATCACACTTTAATCCTTTCTAATAGCATAACAGAACTCCCTTCAAAATGGGTTTATAACCACTGGTTTAGAGGTTAGAGTTTATAAAACATCACGAAAGGGATAGTGGCTAAACAGGCCATATTAACTGACTACATCTCAGGCACCTAACAACTGCAGCATATGCAATCTGCATGGATGCTGTTAAGCCAAGGGTCCATGTTTCCTTTTTCTTAGTACTTGGATCTTTCTAAGTTTATAGATATGTTTTTCCACACTTATTTTTTTATTCACAAATTATGAGAAACAGTGCTAATCTGTCTTTAGTTCTCAACAAGTTTTTGC